TTGAGTATGTTGATGTACTTCCCTTGTTGCAAACTAACGGTAAAACAGTAAAACTCCTTCAAACTCCAGATCCACCACTCCAATCGCAGAAGCACATGGTCAAACTTTGATTGAAGTGGATTAACTTGCACAGATTAATAATGGTTACCTAAAAAATAACAAGCCAGCAGGCACAGGATGTCAACATGTCGTCAGATTGACATTGTATCCCAATGCCGTGGGGAAATTCCATCTTGTTTGGAAATAAATAAAAAAAAAGGGTTGTCCAACGGTCAACCTAAAATCAACTAAATATCAACGTATAATGATGGTACACCTGCACATTGTGTGGACATTACGTCTATCTGACGTTGGATTTTGGTTGCCATACCTGACGAATATATGTCAGTATTTGACATCAATACGACGTTGGTGTCACTTTCCAATCCAACCTAAAATCAATCAAATATCAACATCATTTGACTTCATTATTGGACGTCAAAATAAAGTTGTCCTCAGATACTGGCTAGACATTGAATTTTATTCCCATGACGTCACAACCTAAATCTAACCTTATATTAACGTATTATGACGTTATGTGCTTGCTGGGAATGTACACTAGCAAGCTAAATAACAACAATTTGGGAATTTACAGAGACTTTAAACATCAAGAGAGATTTTTAAGCCATTCCAAGAGTTAGAAAAGTTGAATCGATTGTCTATTGGGACATTCCACGTTATCATGCATTTGTCTTTTGTGGATGATCATGCAGACTTCAATGAGTTTGTGACATTGTAATGATGCAATATTCTTGAAATCACAGATTTAGAACTACCAACTTCTTGACACAATGTTTCAGTCACTTGAGAATGGCTCAATATCTTGCAAAAACAGTGAAAACTGGAAGGTTAGACTGTGGTTTAACAGATAATTATTGAAACTACCATCAGCTGCCAGATTTACACCAATATCTGAGAGGATCTGAATGAGGATCTCTAATCTTGATTAGTGTTTCTTTTAAAATCTCTTAAATTTTCATACTGTGCTTCAGAATGTCTGGTATATATAAATATATATATATACAAATGTATTTCTGTCATTGAAACAGCAAACCTAATGAAGCCTTGATAATAGGATTATAACAATACACTCAACTCAGGTGTTAAATTTATGCCAATGTTTATGCAAATGTTGCCAGAATAAAAATATTTATTATTTAGACGCTGAAAATTACATAATTGTGTTAGACACTTGTGCTTGCACTCTGATCGCATGCAAATAAGCATTTTAAACTAGTAAAATCTAACATTTGGCATTCGCCTTTGATTTATTAAATTGTATGTTGGATGTTATATTCATAGTAAATTCACTACTATCAAACTCTGTAAATTCAAATAGTAAAATGTTCTCACAGAGTGTACTCTTTATATGAATGCAAGCATTTGCTGGATCTCTCACAGGCAAGCCGTGTGCACACAGACTCAATGCTCACTACTGTATGTCCAGCCTCTTTAAATTCAGTCTCCATTCTCTCATTCATGTTGTGCTCGTGCGTCACAGAAGCCTTCAGACTTCCTTGTTTTAGACAGTTTAAGTGTTTAGAAGTCACTGTGTTCTTTCAAAAGGGGATTAGACTGCTTTTTTACAATGCTTTTATGCAGTTTTTAAATTATTTTAAGCTCAGGGTTGCCACTTTAAGCCAAATATCAAACACCCCAACTTACAGACTAAAAATTTTAATTTCTATGACATCTAATAAAAGGAAACAGCTGGCGTTGTGCTTACACTCCAAAAATAATACTTTTGCTGCTTGTTCAAACTACTTATTTAAAATGAACTGAATCAACGCAATTCTTGAGACTTTTTTGAGACAACTTAATTGTTTTATGTTTTTACTTCAATTTACTTCAGTTAGTAACAAAATAAAATTAATTAAGTAAACAATCATTTTTGTTTGGAAAACATGCAGAAATTGGGAAACCTAACATTTTATAGTGAATATATTAATAATAAAATATTTAAATAACTTGTTAAAATAATAACATAACATTCAAAAATTGTTTTAGCTTGAATAATATTTTACATTGTTTTAATAGCTACTGTGAGAATTGGTTCCACACAATTGCTTCGTATTTTCCCAACTCAAACTGATTCAGTAAAAATTATTGTTTTTAAAAATTGAAGTGGATTGAACATAAAACAATTAAGTTGTCCCCAAAACAAAAACTCAAGAACAGTGTTTATTCAGCTTATTTTAAGTAGTTTAAACAAGCAGCAAAATATTTTTGAGTGTACAAAAACAAATAATTTATCTCAGATTATATATATATATATATATATATATATATATATATATATATATATATATATATATATATATATATATATATATATATATATATATATATACAGTATATAATCCTGATTCCTTGCTGTTTTTGTGACTACGAAATGCTTCCTCTTTCATATTTGACAGCTCGATATCAGTTTTAAAAACGTTTTATATAGTTTTTGTCATCTACTTCTTAACCCCTAAAATGGAAAAAATGATTGCTGCCTTACATTTTTTAGTTGAATCAAATGAATTTTTTCAGTCATCTCAACACACAACAATCAAACTAACAAAAAATATTAGGTTAAACTTTGTATAACCTAAGTTTAGTTGAAACATAACTGACTTATTAAATCAAACTAATAATAACTTGACTTCTAGTTGATCATTTGGTATCAGAAGTGGCTTAAATGTAAAGCAAAGGCCTCTAGATTACGTTTGTTTTACCAAAATAAAATATGATAATGTCTTGATTTTAAGTTATTTATTTAATTACTTAACTAATTATTTACTCAGACAAAAGTCTTGTCACTTAACATAAATAATGTACAATATATAATAAAAAGTCACGATGCAGTGGAAAAATAACTAATATTGAGTAAAATTTCATGATCTTGGAGGACTGCATCCATACATCTCTGCAATGACTCAAATAACTTATTAATAAAGTCATCTGGAATGACAAGGAAAGCAATCTTGCAGGACTCCCAGAGTTCATCGAGATTCTTTGAATTCATCTTCATTGCCTCTTACTTCATCTTACCCAAGACATGCTCAATAATGTTCATGTCTGGTGACTGGGTTGGCCAATCCTGGAGTACCTTAACCTTGGCTTTCAGGAACTTTGATGTGGAGGCTAAAGTATGAGAAGGAGCGCTATCCTGCTGAAGAATTCACCCTCTCCTGTGGTTTGTAATGTAATGGTCAGCACAAATATCTTGATACCTCAGGCTGTTGATGTTGCCATCCACTCGGCAGATCTCCCGCACACCCTCATACAGAATGTAACCCCAAAACATGATTTTTCCTTCACCAAAATTGACTGATTTCTGTGGGAATCTTAGGTCCTTATGGGCCCCAATAGGTTTTATGCAGTATTTGTGATGATTGAGATGCAGTTAACAGATGATTGATTAGAACAATCTACCTTTTGCCACCGAATGATCAATTAGAAGTCAAGTTATTATTTGTTGCTCTTACAACTGGGATCCACGACAAGACGTTTGTCAGGTAGTGTATTCCTTATACCTTTTCATATACCAAAATGCAATATATCAAATGTCCATTAGACATCATGAAAGCAAGTTTCTATAGGCAGAACAGCACAGATTACTACAGTATATCCAAATCTGAAAGCAACATACAGTTTGAAAGCAATATAACCTAGACCTGCCTTCATTAAGAGCAAAACAGATGTTGACCAGTAAGGCAGCCGCTGACCAGCCCAGTGCCAGAACTACAGACGGGAACACATGGCATTTTGGGAAAGAGCCCAATCTGACTGCGAAACTAGCAATACCTTTAACAACCCAAACACTTTCAACAGGAGGTCGACAACAGGTGCCATTCCACAGTCTGGACATGAGAATCAAGACATTTGCAAAGCGGATCCATCACTGAAATACTAAACCCCAAGCTTTAGAAATGATAAGAACAATGTAGGTGGTAAATGAATCACATCTCAAGCTCTATTTCTTGAACACCTCCACATGATTATTATTGTTCTTTCTCAACATATCATTTGTCATTCGAGATGTACATCCCCCCTAAACCGAAGCCCACCACACAAAACCTCCAGCTTTTTGGGTTTTGTTTGTCATGTTGGTGGTATCCTGCATGTCAGCATCATTTTTTATCTCCTAAAAGCTTATTACCATAAGGCAACCACCAAAAAAAAAAAACCTTCCAGTCATCCTCAAGCTCAAACAATTAACTGAAAAGGATGCTCAAACCTAATGTATTTCACACTCCATTCGATTAACTGTAAATAAAAGTGTATTATCGCAGCTCTGTGTTTTCCCGAGCAGAATATCAATATAGATTTTCAATTATTGGCCAGCCAGAAGTGAGGTCTAGACACTGATTGAGCAAGTGATGGGAAAAAAAGGCAGAGACAGAGACCACAGCTGTTCAATCTGGGGGGCAAAGCAGAAAAAAACAACAACACACAATCATTTCTCGCGCCTGTTGTCAGTCACATTTATTATGAATAGCTCTCGTAATACAGCTTATGAACCTCTCCCTGCATAAAAACTTTAAAGACGCATACATTAGAGTGACTTTTGACTACTTTATTAAAGAGGCGTAGCATGAAATGTATCTCCAATTAACGCGTCTAGATCCATTCATTAGCACACAGGCGCCCAGAAACTCTGAAACCACATCCGAAATGTGACACATGCGACGCAAAGCGCTCTACAAACACACTGTGTCTGCAGCAGAACATATATTTGCGTATTACGGGAAACACTCTTTGCATGAGTAGCCCGGCGCCGAAGCCTCTGCCATTAACCTTGACTCGCTTCTACGTTCAGCATAGCGTAAGCATCCAAGTTAAACACCCACCCGGCCGTACACACATAAACAGACGATAGATAAGCACAGTTGCACAGGGAATTGAACAACATATGGAGCCAAAGTCAAACACACGACTGCACACACAGACGGAGAGAAGCTGGAGGTACTCACAGAATGAAGCAGACGACACCGGGAGCTAATATCAAAGGATTGGCACGGATACAAGCTGGCTGCGTCCCGTCGGGAATGCTGACAAATTCCGGGGGAAGAAAAAAAAAGAGGAAGGAATATCCGAGGACACCTCTGAAACTGGATGGGGGACGGAAAGGGGGTCGTGGTGCTGGGCGAGAGGAAATCTCACGTTTTCTTAAGATCGGAGGTTAGGCTTTAGAAGATTTCCATCTCTTGTTCTCGTTGCCTGGCTCTCCGTTTGCCGAATGCTATCAGGTTCCTGATTTTGACTGGAGATACAACTGCATTTTGGCTAGGGGTGAGCAGGAGTACAGAAGAAAAATCAGACGGGAAGGCGAATCCAAAAAAAAATCCAGCGGAGATGAAATAACTCAATTCCCTCCTTTGCTCTCCCAGAGGCATGGAGAGGGGGATAAAAGCGGAGATGGAGTGACAAGATAAATACCTAAAACTGCAAAACTGAGAAGGCAACAGAACATTCTGTTTCAGCTAAAGGGGGGGAAAAAGATTCTCCCTTCTTTCCCTCCACCCTTTTTCAGTCACTGCAATCTCCCCCTTACAGTCTTAAGGGTCATCCGAAAGAAGAAGAAGAACAAAAAATCTCATTTTCAAGATGAAAAGGAGATGAAAATGGAAAAAGAAGCTTAGCTTATCAAAAGGTTGAAGTTAATGATGATCTGTGGCATCTGCCCCCTCCCTCCCCTTTCTCGCTTTCTTTGGTCTTGTTCTCCTTCTGTCGTTCAAGTCACCTGAATCTGAACAGTAAATTTTCTTTGTTAGCCCCTTGTCGATCCAAGGTTCACAGTTTCATCCGTTTTTCTCTCTCTTTCTGCACTGTAAAACTGTTGAACATCAGTGTAATAGCTGAGATCTAACACAAAACAATCCCAAAAGCTGTTTGTCCCTTCTGGACAAATACTAGCAGAAAAAAATAAATGATTGGTAGAAGGTCAGAATCTGATCCTGAGTGGTGGGGTGCTTTGAAGGATACCCCTGAAAAAAAAAATCCCACTTGAACCTCTAGTTCTCCATTTTCAGCTGCCTGCCAGGCAGGAAGTTCAATTATCTCCTGTTGAATGCTATCGCTTAGGATCTTCGCCGTGCAATATGAAATCAAAGGATCTTTGTGTGATTGGATGACACTTATTCCTTTGGCCCTTCGGGGTTCCTTTCCAACTTGAAGCACTTGATGGTTTCAGAGTAGTAAACGTCAAGTGATTTCAATATATATATATAAAAGAAAATCCTAATCAAGGAGATTTGTTCTTTCTTTTCAGCCCTACTTCCTCGGCAGATATCTTTAAGTCTCTGCGCTCTTGTCACCGGGCTTTCGTTGGCAGGAAAGTAGGTGCATTCTGAGCGTGTCTGGGGATGTATGGAAGAAGAACTTGCTGTCAGCAGGCAGGAGTGGTAAGACGCCTCAGGGGTGGAGAAATGGGCCTTTACGGAGCACAAGACAGCCTGGAGCTGGAAGAACAGACAATTAGGAACGTATAATTAAAGCAGCAAAAGACATAATGGTGTAATACAGTGGTGTAGACTGCGCTTTTTGCTTTCTGCGTTCCTTTTATCACATCATTGAACTCTACGGTGTCCTTGCACTGGCATTCCACCTCCCTACAGTGGGGGAAATAAGTATTGATAAGTATACAGTCCTGTTTTTATCCTGGGAATAACACTTCTAAAGGAGCTGATGACATGAGATTGATCCAGATTTTGGGAAAAACCCAAACAATAAGAATCAAACAAAACAAAAAAGTCTGAAAAATGAGTTATGTGTAATAACAATAGAATGACACAAGGAGAAAATACTGAACAGAATACCAAAATGTATTTAATACTTTATATAAAAGTTTTTTTTTGGTGATGGCAGTTTAAAGACACCTCTCATGGACAGAGTGTATAAATCTTGATGGATCTGAGAACTACTAAGACCCCGTTTACACTAATACGTTTTAGTTTTAAAACAGCGTTTTAGAATGAAGTGGATTTGCATCCAGACTGGCATTTTACCTTGCAAAACTTATGCAGTTTAAAACAAAAACAAAGTAGTGTAGTGTAAACGGGGGCTGAGAGATTTCAGCTGCTGTCTGGGCTTTCCATGCCTTTCTACACCTTCCTTTCTTAATGTGTTCAATACTTTTTCCCTGCATCATTTTATTTTATTATAAATTAACTGTAAACACATTGAGACATTGAAACACGTCACGCTTTGGCTCTCAGGTCCAATTTGATTAGTTTTGGCTCGGGGAAATGTATATAATTTGTGTTGGACTTGTGCAGGGCGTGATGAATGCTAATATGCTAAAATAAAGCATTACTTTTGAAGATGGTGTAACTTTAATCATCATTTTGTAATGTGTCGTCTTGGTATTTTAGTAAACGAAACCATTTAAAGTCTGCGTGAACCAGAAGTTGCTGAGCCTTTTAATTCATTCATTCATTCATTCATTTGAGTAACTTATTTACCAGGGGATACCATAGCGGATTGAACCGCCAACTATTCCAGCATATCAATAACTTTACCAGAGTGAAAAGACTTTAACAGAGTGTAAAAATCTTGATGGTTCTGAGAACTACTGTAAGATTTCAGCTGCTGTCTGGGCATTCCATGCCTTTCTACACCTCCCTTTCTTTATGTGTTCAATACTTTTCCCTTTGTCATTTAATTTCATTATTGATTAGTTTTGTTTTCTTTGTTTTATATGTTGTTTATCTGTTTTTACCAACACCCTGTGAAAATTTCAAGTCTACAGCAAAGAAAACAATGACATTTTCAATACTTATTTCCCCCACTGTGTACCTTTCGCAAGTCTTCTCCCTGCAGCAGTCATATTTTCCTGTCATTATTGAGCTAATATTTCAGCACAATCTTTCCTCTTATCCAACTCACACAAGCTTCAAGCACAATTTCCATTATAAATAATTCTAAAAAGTAATTACAGGCAATTGTCCTTTAGATGAAGTGAGAAGCCAATGCAAATGCTTTGAGCAGGGAACAATCACTGTGATTATATTTTCACCGAGTGAAGTGGTGTTACAAGCGACCGTATGTAAAATGCTCCACGGTAGATATTAGCGAAACACTGGCTGCTTCTATGCTCGACTGTTACGTAAGCCTGTTAGCAGTAGCTGGAATAAAAGAAAGAGGGGAAGCCGGTCAAGTGGCTGCCATGTGTCTAAATCTGTCAATCTACCAATCAACCGTGCTTTTTGAACATCGCAAGCTGATGCTTTTTTACATCATGGCATTAAAGTAGAGCGCTTCACACTGTAAACACATTAAGCCATTAAACCGCATTATGCTTTGGCTCTCAGGTCAAATTTCATTTGTTTTGGCTCGTGGAAACTAATATAATTTGTGTTGGACATGTACAAGGCGTGATTATTGGTATGTTGTGCTAATATAAAGCATTACTTTTAAAGATGGTGCTTTTTTATCATTTTGTAATGTGTCGTCTTGGTATTTTAGTAAAGGAAACCATTTAAGGTCTGCGTAAACTGGAAGTTAATGAGCCTTTCATTCATTTTCCTTCAGCTTAGTCCCTTATTTATTACAGGATGCCACAGCAGAATGAACCGCCAGCTATTCCAGCATGTATTTCATGTAGTGGATGCCATTCCAGTTACAACACAGTACTGGGAAATGAATTTTTTTTACACAAATTCTGTGGTGGTTGTGATGACAACTCAGAGATTTCAGCTGCTCTCTGGTCTTTCCATGCCTTTCTACACCTCCCTTTCTTCATGTGTTCAATACTTTTTCTTTGTCATTTAATTAAATTATTGATTAGTTTTGTTTGCTTTGATTTTTATATAGGTTTTTGTTGTTACCAACATCCTGTTAAAACTTTTAAGTAAACAGCACAGACTTTTACTTCAGTATTTTTTGTACTTCCAATTGAAACAGAATATTGAGTAGGGGTGAAGCTTGCTTTTTGCGCATCATTCACTTGTAGCAAAATAATGGTAAAAGCAGCTTGGTTAAGGATATTGTGGCTGAAGCCATCAAAATAACATCAGAGAAGGACCACCACTCCAAGCTCGAAAACAAATTTTCAGAATTTCAGGGGGGTGTTGGTTCAGCGTGGATTGCTAGGCGACCATCAACCATTTTCTCAGAGGTTGACAAAACATCGCTGTAACTCTGATACAAGTTTTACTTATGGAGAAATTTTAAAATCACTGCAGTGTTTGGGTGATCTGTGTTTGTGTGAAGTAATTAATCTACCAAAATGTGTATATTCCATACAAAGTATGAATCTACTCGGTCAGTTCTTATCTCGCAGTGCGCTCGTGGCATTCTGAAAGATGTTTTTAACTGGGTGTGCCTGAAAGGCGCAAGCGCCTCGCACAGCTTGTGCATGTCGCTCCCATTATGCGAGCCACAAGCCTCCAATGGAAATAACAAACTTGTATGTGATAGATAAGACGTGATTTATGAACATCCCCAAAAGCTGTCGTCATTTGCAATATTTGATCTTCTTCTTGCACAGATATGCTGAATTGGCCTGATTTGTTGACAAATGGGTTGCAAAACTATTCCTTGCCAGTTTGTAGGTCCTTCACTAGGTCTTTTCCCCTTCGTAAAAAAAACTTTCCAAAGACTTCTGTTTTTAATAGCTTGTGGATTAATTTTTGCAGTTCAAGAGAACGAGATGTAACCAAGAGAATACGCTCATTTTTCAAAATAAAAGACTCAGATAGTAAATAATACAGAAATAATTCATACAAAAAAAATTGTTAGGCCTGGTACCAGTTGATCTACGAACTGGTTCTGGTCTTCGGCCCACGGATTTGAGACCACTGCATTACCTAAATAAACACTGTAAATTAAAATTTCACACAAACTTTATATTTTGTGCACGTCAGAGCATTTGTCCTTGAAGCGCACATGCCATGTTTCAGATAAAGGTGCTTTTTTAATATTATCGAATTGTGCATGGAGCCAAACCAATTCTTTTTTTTGCCTACTCGAAGCCTTATTACACCATTTTCGAAGCTGTCATGGTAAATCAATAGGTCTGAGCCCTTAGCAGACATCAAACTCGGTACCTTCGGAACACATATTAACAAAGACTTCAGCAAAGGGCACTGAGGATCACATTCTGTACTTTTCTCTGTGTGATCTAATGCTTCCGCGAGCAAGTCAGAGCAACGTGCCAAGAAACCAACCGAAGGTGAGAGGTTGAAAACGAGATTCGTTTTTTTTTTCCTCTTGCACTTCTTGCGCTTTTTGCACAGTGAAACATAATTCGGGTCTGCTTTGTCATACTCTCTGTCTGAGATAGTGCCTCTGAAAAGGATTTACAACTCTGAAGATTTCCCTGATAAATCCAACTCTTTGCATCATCTAAGTTACACAGAGGTTAAGACAACAACGGTATTTCACTCTGATATCACGCAACTCTATTTCACGGCAATTTACGAATCATGTCAGCGGGTTCCTTTATACTGCCTTTCTCATCAATGTTTCTTTATATTTTGTCATCTTTCCCAGTTGTTTAGGAAAGGTAGAACTTGTATTTAAATTGTCAAGAGATCTTAATATTATTGTAGACTATTGGAACTCACAGGAAATTGTACTTGCATTTGCTCTTGTAATTATGCTCAAGACTTAATGGTAATCTAAAAAAGTGGTTAATGCAGAAAGCATAATTAAAATGGTATGCAAGTTATTTTTAGTAAACGAAAACAAACTATAGGTCAAAAATAAAAATCAAACAATGAAAAACTAGAACAAAGGAAAAAATAACTGAAATAAAAAATAATAATAAACCAAAATATTAATAGTTTTCAGAATTACTAAGGACTCGTTCAGTGACAGAAAGGTTGACCTGCGGCTGTTAATAGAATAACCTGTAGGTGGCGCTTATACAAACACATTTTCTTCATTTAACTAGATAAATTACTATGTAATAATCATATTACTTTTCAAGTAAAGTAGATAGAAATGTAGCTAAATAATTAATTATTCGAGTCATCTTAACTTACATTAATCAAATTGACAAAAAATAATACGTTAAACTTTGTATAACTTTTAAAAAAGTTGAAACCTCATTAACATTTTAAAATAAGCAACATAAAATTATTTGTCTTGACTTTTTGTCAGTTTTTTTTTTTACAGAAATTATCTTTAATGTTTAGTTAGTCTTAATTCTTCCTAATTTTTCACTTTTATTTGTGTAAATTTGTGTAGTGTTGTGTTCAGCGGCTGTCCAAACTCTTATTTAATTTTCATAACCAAGAGGTTTTCACAAGAGTTAGCCAAAACAAAACTTTCCTCTGGTCGACACTGGACGTGTTCAGTTAACTAAAACTGAAACTAAATATATATGTCACAAGGGGGGCGTGGCCGAGAGCTGTGGGAACTAAACGAGGCCAGTCACAAGTAATAATGAGCATCACCTGTTCGCGCACCGGCCTCGAGTCTCACGGAGGAGCGGAAGCACAGGAGAAGTGACGATAGAGGATGACGAGAGAGGACCTGGCCTGGACACTTCATGTTTTGTTTTGCGTTTAGTTTGCCGGCAGTCTTCGTAAGTAGCTGCTTGTTTTGTCATTATTAAAATTGTTTAATGTTTGTCGGTTTTCTGCCTTCTTCTTCCCAATGGCTAGAGAGGCATCAACATTGCTACAATTTAAAAACTCGAAATGTTTTTCTAAATAAAACTAACAAAACCATTCATTAAACCCTACTGAAAAAGACAGCTTAAACCAGTCTAGGCTTATTGGCTGGTTTTAGCTGGTTGACCAGGCTGGTTTTAGAGGGGTTTGGGCCATTTCCAGGCTGGTTTCCAGCCATTTCCAGCCTGGTCTCAGCTGGTCAGCCTGGAAGATGACCAGCTAAGACCAGTCTAGCCAAGCTGGGAGCCCAGCCAAAACCAGCTATGTCCAGCTTAAACCAGGCTGGTCAAGTTAGTTTTAGCTGGATTTAGCTGGTCATTTTCCAGCCTGACCAGCTAAGACCAGCCTGGAAATGGCCAAACCCCTCTAAAACCAGGCTGATCAACCAGCTAAAAACAGCCAACCGACCAAGGCAGGTTTAAGCTGGATTTTTCAGCAGGGAAAACAAACTAAAACTAAACAGAAATGGACTACAAATTGAAACTTGTTTCAAAATAAAATGATTTTGTTGTTGTTTTAACTCTAGAGCAGGGGTGTTCAAACTCGGTCCTGGAGGGCCGGTGTCCTGCATGGATTAGCTTAAAACTTCAACACTCCTGCCTGGAAGTTTCTAGTATACCTAGAGAGAGCTTGATTGGCTGGTTCGGGTGTGTTTAATTGGGATTAGAACTAAAATATGCATGAAACCAGCCCTCCAGGACTGAGTTAGGACATCCCTGCTCCAGAGAAAATGTAAGGTTGGTAAGGTTGGATATCTCTAAAAAAAAGAAAGAAAGTGTCCCCATTTAGTCTTTTTACTCTCTAATAGATACAAGTGAGATTATTAAAGAGATCCTGTGATGATTGTCTTTGCTTCCAAGTATGTGTATATACAGTATGCTAGCCTTGCTCTCAGGTGTTAAATTTAAATAACCTTCACACACACACACACACACACACACACTGAGAGCCAGCAAAAGCTCAGCATTGTGGATAAGCTGTCACAATCACCATCAATCTGCACACTCTCTGCCTGACCCATGAAATACAAGCAGGGTTCACCGGCAGACGCATATACTGCCGTGACCATATACACTAGAAGTGTGTGTGTTTGTGTGAAGCATGTGTGAAGGATGTGTTTGACCTGAGCGCGTTGGTTTAGGTTGAGCGCTTCTGTGACACAGACAGTTGTTAATGGCTGTTGAGGGATGGGCAGATGGGGAGCGATGGAGGGAGCAGAAGAGGGGGGACCGTGACAGATGAGAGAAAGAATGAAAGATGGAGAGAAAGAAAGAGTAGGTGGAGACGATGAAAGAGAATAAAATGGCTGATGGACAACAGTAAAAGGAGGATCTGGAAATAACGGGGCTGGGAGGGAGGGGGGGGGGTACGATTGCAGTCAACTCAATGCCTATAACCCAAACACACAGAGAAAAAAAGAACAAGAAAAGCAAGACACACTCACCTCATAGCTTTTTCTTCTTCTTCAGCTGTGATGCTGTTAAGTCTACTGCGCTATCAGAGAGAGAAAGACAGATTAAAGAATGCCAAGAAGACTAATACAATAACTGTGCAAAAAAAGGACGAGTTAAAGTGTCCGAGCGGCTCTCTGCATCACTCGCCGTGCATATGCATGAATGCAAAACGACTTGCTAATCGGAGTCCTGGTGAATTACACATGCGGTTATAAATCAACATGTCAGCATACATGCGCACACACACATACACACATGCACGCAGCGGCATGAACAGACTCCACAGGCGCTACCTCAGAGGACGCAAGCTCTCTCTCTCTCTCTCTCTCTCTCTCTCTCTCTCTCTATCCCCTCCTCCTCCTCTGTTCCCCCTCTCTCAGCCTCTTCTGCGGTTTCTGTTTATTCACCACAGATCATTTCCCAAGAGGATGCAATGGTGGGTTCTCTTCATTTTCTGCGTCCTTGCCATCCTTCGGTTTTCACGCCCCCCGTTCCAGTCCGGCAGAATTGAGCTTGCTGTAATTTCTGGCAGCTGGGCTAATGTGTAAACTGCATTCGTGCCCTCTCGTTCTCCCTCTCTCTCTCTCTCTCTCTCTCTCTTCAGTGCCTCTTCAGCACTGCCTCCAATCCAATCAGAAGCACATCTCTCTCTCTCTCTCTCTCTCTCTCTCTCTCTCTCTTTACACTCATTCCCACAAATTCTGTAAAGTAAACATCTGAATGTCAATTTATCCCAGTCATACTGGCGTCCTGAGCTTTCCCCTTTGTCAAAACACATGCGTTCAATGATCAAGGTGACACAGAACAGTTCAATTAATGGCGGGAATGAGAATTAGCACCTTCAAGTCCGAGGCCATGGTGCTCCACCGGAAAAAGGTGGTTTGCCATGTCCAGGTTGGAGGAAAGTCCTTACCCCTACGTGTCTTGGGGTTTTGTTCGCTAGTGAGGGAAGGATGGAATGTGAGATTGACAGGCGGATTGGAGCCCTGGCAGCAGTATTGAGGTCAATGTACTGGTCTGATGTAGTAAAGAAGCAGCTGAGCTGAATGGCAAAGCTCTCGATTTACCGGACAATCTACATTCCTACTCTCACCTATGGTCGTGAGCTTTGGGTCATGACCGGAAGGATTAGTTCTCGGATACAAGTGGCCGACATTAGTTTCCTTTGGAGGGTGGCAGGTCACACCCATATGGATAGGGTGAGGAGCTCTGTTACCCAGTAGGAGCTTTATGTAGAGCCACTGCTCCTCCACATCGAGAGAAGTCAGCTGAGGTGGCTCGGACGTCTGTTTCGGATGCCTCCTGGGGAGGTGTTCAAGGCAGGTCACACCGGTAGGAGGTCTCAAGGAAGACCCAGGACACGCTGGAGGGACTATATCTCTCGGCTGGGAAGGTAGAGGGAAGCGACCCGGCCCCGGAAAAGCGGTAGCAAATGAATGAATGAGTTAGTGAATGAGACTTTATAACACATTCATTATGGGAGCATGCGAGGGATCTGCAGAGTAAATGGCAACATCAACAGACTGGGGTATCAAGATATTTGCGCTGCCCATTATATTACAAACCACAGGAGAGGGTGAATTCTTCAGCAGGATAGCGCTGCTTCTTAAACTTCAGCCTCCACATCAAAGATCCTGAAAATGAAGCAGGTCAAGGTGCTCCAGGTGTGGCCATCCCAGTGACATTATTGAGCATTTCCGAGGTAAGATGAATGAGGAAGCATTGATGAATCAAAAGAATCTGGGACTCTGGGAGTCCTGCAAGAACGCTTTCTTTGCCATTCCAGATGACTTTATTAATGTTATTTGAGTTATTGCAGAGATGTATGGATGCAGTCCTCCAAGATCATGGGAGTCAGAGACAATATTAATTCTGTTTCCACTGCAGCATGACTTTATATTTTATACTGGACATTATTTCTGTTCAGTGACTAGACTTTTGTCTAAGCAAAGTCAGACCTTACTGTCCTAATTAAATCATTAAAAATCAAAGCATGATCATATTTTGTTTTGGTAAAATAAGTATAATCTAGAGGCCTTTGACTTTCATATAGGCCCCTTCTGATACCAAATGATCAACTAGAAGTCGAGTTATTATTTGTTGTTCCTAAAACTTGGATAGGCGACAAGACTTTTGCTGGGTAGTGTAGAAGACTTCTAGAGGTCTCCATAATCCTGGACCTGGCCATGTCCTGAGCAGATGCTGTGGTGGTCATGAAGAAAATTTCTAATCAGCCAATCACATTGCAGCAACTCAATGTATTTAGCCATGTAGACATGGTCAAGACGATTTGCTGCAGTTCAAACCGAGCATCAGAATGGGGAAGAAATGTGATTTGAGTGACTTTGAATGTGGCATGGATGTTGGTGCCAGATGAGCTGGTCTGAGTATTTCAGAAACTGCTGATCTTCTGGGATTTTCATGCACAACCATCTCTAGGGTTTACAGAGAATGGTCAGATAAAGAGATAATATCCAGTGTGCAGCTGCTTTTTTGTGCACAACTGGCTAGCTGATGCCACAGCCAACCTGAGTATTGTTTCTGACCATGTCCATTCCTTTATGACTTTCTGATGGCTACTTAACGCGCCATGTCATAAAGCATGAATCATTTTAGACTGGTTTCTTGAACATGACAATGAGTTCACTGTACTCAAATGGCCTCCACAGTCACCAGATCTCAATCCAATAGAGCACCTTTGGGATGTGGTGGAACCGGAGATTCGCATCATGGATGTGCAGCCGACAAATCTGCAGCAACTGCGTGATGCTATCATGTCAATATGGACCAAAATCTCAGGAATATTTCCAGTACCTTGTTGAATCTATGCCACGAAGGATTAAGGCAGTTCTGAAGCAAAAGGGGGTCCAAAACTGTACTAGCAAGGTGTACCTAATAAAGTGGCCGGTGAGTGTATATTCCCACTGCATTTTTTTTTTTCTGTTGACTTACCGATGAATAAAAATAATTGCACCGTTGCTGAATTAAAAAGGAATATTTTGCTGAACATGATTTCTAACAGAATCATTTTAGGATTTATATTCTCAATAATTCCCTTGGGGTTTAATTTCTGATGATGACCATTATGCATCAATTAAAACGTGTATTTACAACCTTAACCTTCACATATAGTGTATCAGCCATAATGCCGTGTTCCAGCGCATCTATTTGTAAATACAAATGACACAATATACCTACCGTATATATCTACCGTACTCTGAATGACATGAATGGAAGTCAATGGAGCCCAGAGTCAAGTGTGACCAAAGCTTTGCCCTGAAAATCACTTAGTCACACAGAAACATCAAGAATGTATACCAGCTTTTCATGGATGCATGCACAAACACATGCACGTAAATACCAAAGCAATATAAGCCATGAGGCGCTGCGTTACAGTAAATTTATCACAGAAGATGAGGATGTCTGTCACAACGTGAAACGAGTTTTAAGTTCCAATAGGTTAAAGCAACATTTATACTGAATTCAGCTGCCATTCAGCCACATGCATCACCTAATATAAAAAGCTTCGAATGTAGCTTATGTTTCATGAATATACAATCAATATCAAATGTATTCATACCCCTGACAGATTCTGACTTAACGTTTTTGATCAAATTGAAATAAAAGCTAAAAAATATTTCTTGTACGTCATCTTATTTTGAGCGAAAAAAGACTTGTTGAATAAAAGTAACTAAAAGAACCATGGGTATGAATAATTTGGGGCATGACTGTATAAGTGATTAAATGTTGTTGTTTTTTGATTGTTATTATTTTTCACGTTTAGGGAAAAAAGATCATAATTTTTGCCATTAATATTTAATCAGATAAATTATCAGTTAAATCAGCAGTAGCAGACTAATATTATTATTATTAGACTCTCTACTAGTGATAATCATTGTTTAGATGCACATATATACAGTAAAAAAAAACAAATCTTATTAAAGGTTTGTCTTGTTTTGAGTTCAAATATCCAAAAATATTTTAAGGTGTTACATATTCCATGCTATAGTAATACATTGTTTTTGAATGCATAACACTAAACCTATAACTCTATAGGTTATATAATAATTCTAACCCTAACCATATTAAGAAAGGGATAATCAATGGCTCGATGTGTGTTAAAAAATTGCGAGGCAAGAATGTATGAAGGCAACTGCCTGATGGGAAGTGAATATAACTACAGCACAGTTGGGTCCAACAACTTAGTTTTCAAGTGCAGAAAGTAAATTACAGTAACTGTACTTTTTCTTTTTCTTTTTGCCAGTAAATCTGTCATATATTGTTGTGTTTTGTCCCTACTGGCGAGGTCAAAAGTAGCAATGTGCAATTTATGTTTAAAATGACATCATTTTAGTTGCTCATTTATTATTAATATCTCTTTTAAAGAATTTCTTTAAATTTTCATTTATTTTTTTTATTTATTATTATTCTTTTTTCTGTCAGAGGATATGTTTGTTTATAATACATTTATTTAATTTTTAGGGGATAGTGGGAAAATAGGAAAAAATGAGACAATCTGTAATTGTTCCTATATTGTATTGTATACTTTGATGTATTGTCTTGTTAAACACCAATAAAAAATAAATAAATAAAATAAAATAAAATAATTTTTAAGCTGTTCTACATGTATACAAAAAAATCAATGGTTATTGATAGACCACATTTATGAGTTAGTAACCACAGCAAATATATATATATATATATATATATATATATATATATATATATATATATATATATATATATATATATATATATATATGTCTAAAACTTTTTATCTAAATCTTTTTTAAATATTTGTATGAATTGGATTGAGATCTGGTGACTGTGGAGGCCATTTGAGTACAATGAACTCATTGTCATATTCAAGAAACCACAAGGCAGAATGGATCCATGCATTCATGTTGTTGATGCCAAATTCTGACCATACCATCCAAATGTCGCAGCAGAAATTGAGACTTATCAGACTAGGCAACGTTTTTCCAATCTTCTATTGTCCAATTTTGGTGAGCCTGTGCAAATTGTAGACTCAGTTACCTGTTCTTAGCTGAGAGGAGTGGCACCCGGTGTGGTCTTCTGCTGCTGTAGCCCATCTGTCTCAAGGTTGGACGTGTTGTGATGCTGCAGACCTCGGTTGTAACGAGTGGTTATTTGAGTTACTGTTGCCTTTCTATTAGCAGGAACCAGTGTGGTCATTCCCCTCTGACCTCTGGCATCAACAAGGCATTTGCGCACACAGAACTGCCACTCACTGGATATTTTCTCTTTTCA